CTCTAGCTATATAACTGGTTGTTTTAGTGATTCTTGCTATGTGACGATGTTCCACTGATGATGGTCACACGAAAACGTTCTGGAATTGTTTCATTTTAACTGTTTATACATGATTATGAGTGCACAATTGATATTTTTCATTGAAATGTTTTAACTTCAACCATAAAACTGGAAACGGATGAATACAGCTATCATAACAGCTGACAGCACAGAGTGGCAGAGCGACATAAGTAAGTTTAGTTATGCTAACACGAGAGTATACAAGAGTACAATTCTACTTATAGACTACCGCCGAGAACCAAGTAGTCGAAAGCTACACAACATGGGTACCGGTAAACCATTTTCACATGTACAGATGCAAAAAGGTTTGAACGTTCCGGAAAAAGACATTATTTGCAAGACACATTGGCAGGACTGGACGAACAAGGCAGACTCCAACATTCTGCAGCCGTCGCGTTGCCGGTGTTGGGGTGGCAGTCATTAGGGGTGCTTTTGATGCCAACTACTGAACTAGTATAGCAGACGAGTGAAAACTGGTCACATGCGTAGCCCGCAGTCGGCTGTGGTGTGGTGTCCCCAGCGTCGTCTGAATCATACACAAGCCTCTTGTACGGGCAAAGCAAATTTGCTTACATAATGTTATGACAGAAAATCTCAATACCAAAAAACAAAAAAACAACAAAAATGAACAAAACGTCAAGAATCGGAAGAAAGTAAAAACTCAATCCAATTCCTTGAAGATGGCAGTTGGCGGTCACGCTGCAACAAAATCACCAAACGTAAGTACTAACAATGTTGAAACATGCACACCAGCTGCTTGCATCTGTCCCGCTGGCATTAAAGCGCTCGTTCCCACACTGCAGTATTAGTGACTGGAACTCCCTCCCCGCCGCTCTTCTGTCCCAGCCTCCCCACAGCAAGGGAATGCAAGTATTCAAAACTAATGTTTATCGCCATCTGCGAAGCACAAACTGGCTCTGGGCAGTCGACTCGCTATGATGATGCTCTCGTCGTTCTCCTCTATCCCTATCTATGCACCACAACTGGCTCAGACAACTGACTCGCCATGATCAGCCATGATGATGCTTCTCTCAGTAGCAGCCCTTGTAATTTGTTAATAGTCTCACAGTTTCTCCCGCACACTCGCTGATGTTAACCCTTCCTCTCTTTTCATTTTGCTGACTCGTACAGCTCTATCTTTTGTTTTTGGTGCGTGTTTTTGGCCGTGATGCCGAGACCTCAGATCGGCAGAGCCGTCAATGCCCCACCATCACTGCTGCGTCTCGGTGCAGCCCCTGCTCAATAGTTGTCACGTTCGTTCTAGTCTCAGTATCATTGTCTTTCTTTATTATTTTCGAGTTGGGAATGTGAACATAGTAAAAATAAAAATAAATAAAAATAAAATGGTTGCAGGAGACAAACTACAAGTAAGCAAGCAACGCATACAAAGAAACAATCAGACAATTAAAACACGTTTAATACCGTCTAGGCCACTGACCTGGACAGGCAGCGGTGCAAGAAGCCGTGGTCTCGCCTACGGCCATATGAACCCCTGCAACCGCGGAAGCATGTTATTGCCCAACGGAGCAGGGTAAACGACAGAAGGCTCCGTAGCTCACCCATCACTACGGAGTAGGCAAGCTCGCCATGCTTCCCCACCAGTTGCGATGCCAGTGCCTTCAAACACAATGTCGTCTCTTTACCGCACATGCCGGAGGTACTGAAAACGAGAGGAGTGAAAGCTCCACGATCCACTCTGTTCACTCTGTCACAGTACGTTCTTTTTTTGCCTTTCGTCTGAATCATGGTCCCCAATGTATTCCCAGCTAACTAGCTCTATCCAACACTGATACACTCTACATAATCTACCCGTAGTTCAACATGGCATGGTTATACATCTAGGCGAAAATCTCGCAGCACTATAATGGTGTGTTGTTGCGCCGGTAAAAAAGTCTACATTATTGTTGCAAACCGCGTGGTTTTTCGGGCACTAGTCATCTGCCTTCTAGGTTTCACTCCTTTTAGTGCGAAACTGTAAGCTTCACCGCACTTATGGCTATGTTGCGAAAAAGTGGTATTAGTCACCTTTGCCGATGTTCCTTCCACTTTAGTTCTAGTGGCCGTGATTTAGCAGGAGCGGCCAGGTGTGGATGATGGCGGAGGTGGTTCTGATGGCGGCAAGTCATATCAAATGGTTGAAAAGGTGTCAGATTCAGACCAGTGGAATGAATCCAGGGAGTAGTATGATACCGGTATTGCACTGCTCCCTGGTGCAGTGCTGGAAATGGCATGCTGTGGTATTTCGTGAGGCTGAGTGCAGTAGGTATTGTAGTACTCCCTGATAAGAAGGTTTTTCTTTCTTTTATGTCTGTGGTATGGAGTTTTTTTATCTTGGCTTTTGGCTTTTCGATTGGTTGATTTTTGACCTTTCTCCAGTCATCTCCTCCGCTATTTGTCCTCCAGACCAAAGTCAGAAACTGATAAAAAATGGTGATCCGGCCTGCCCACGGAATGCACAAGAGACTGTGCGCAGGTGTAATTCACTCTCAGCTTCAAGTTCATACCGTGGGGTACACGTGACCAATCCAAATCGTCAGCACGGCACTCACAGTAGCGTTTTTTTATTTATTTTTTTACTATGTTCACATTCCCAACTCGAAAATAATAAAGGAAGACAATGGTACTGAGACCGGGACGAACGTGACAACTATTGAGCAGGGGCTGCACCGAGACGCAGTGGTGATGGTGGGGCATTGATGGCTCTGCCGACCTGAGGTCTCGGCATCACGGCCAAAAACACCCACCAAAAATAAAAGATAGAGCTGTACGAGTCAGCAAAGTGAAAAGAAAGGAAGGGTTAACACCAGCGAGTGTGCGGGAGAAACTGTGAGACTATTAACACATTACAAGGGTTGTGACTGAGAGGAGCATCATCATGGCTGATCATGGCGAGTCGATTGTCCGAGCCAGTTGTGGTGCATAGATAGGGATATACTCGCGAGAGCATCATCATAGCGAGTCGACTGCCCAGAGCCAGTTTGTGCTTCGCAGATGGCGATAAACATTAGTTTTGAATGCTTGCATTCCCTTGCTGTAGGGAGGCTGGGACGGAAGAGCGGCGGGGAGGGAGTTCCAGTCACTACTACTGCAGTGTGGGAACCAGCGCTTCAATGCCAGCGGGACAGATGCAAGCAGCTGGTGTTGGAGCTGGTGGTCATGGCCAATGACACTACCATGCTCGCTGCGAGTTCTGGGGCTGGATGAGGGGAAATGGCGAGGTGGCAAAACAGAGATCAGCTGCGGAGGGCCAGGCAGGTAATGCAGCTTGTATAGGCAGGCAAGCGAGGCAACAGTGCGACGGATGGCCAGGCTAGGTAATAGTGCACTTGGACCGATGATTCGCAGAGCACAGCATTGGATATGATCCAGGCGTTGCAGGTAGCTGGGCGGAGCACCTATCCAGATGAGGGGGACATACTCCATAACCGGTCGAACAAATGCCTTGTGTCTGTCCCCGGGGAAAATTGCAATTCCGGGGCCGCGTTTTTCCCGCGTTTTTTGCGATTTTTAAAAGACCGCGTTTTCCGCGATTTTTGAACTTTTTTGTTGCACTACACGTACACACAGTCACTGTTCGGTCAGCAACGTCTCATCGTGGCGGCTTTTTACTCAAATATGACGAGTGCTTACACCAGAGACTTGGAACTGATTGATTTCACTACATACTCACTGAAAATTGCCGCACATCAATATTATTCACCGCATATTTACCGCATATTTACCGCAAATTCACCGCAAATTATGCCATATTATGCCGCGTTTTTCCCCGCGTTTTTTGCGATTTTTTCCGAAATTTTCCCCGGGGACAGCTTGTGTACTGTGGCGCGGCCGGCTGGAGAGAGAATGTGCGCTGCACGGCGCGGGAAGCCAAGGCGTTGTTTGGCTCGAGCGGCAACCTTCCGGAGATGAGTGCTGAATGACAGCTTTGAGTCAAAGGTCACTCCAAGTAAAGAGAGAGCCTTCTCCTCAAGGACAGGAGTGCCGCCGAAGACAATGCGAGGCAAATTTATGGGGGTTCTGCGGAGGGTGGCGGTCATGGTTTGGGACTTCGACGGTTCGAAGGAAATCCGACATCTGCGGTCCCACTGATGCAAGCCAAAGCGATCAACAGAAGTCTGGAGGTTCAATGCTGCGTCGGCTGGGGATGTGTCGAGGGATATCACCGTGAAACGAAAAGATTTCTTTGGCGGGTAGTCGGCAAAAAACTAAGTGACGGTCAATTTAGTCCTTCGCAGTGGAGCCATTTCAAATGTACATGTACATGAGCTTCAAGTACTTACATTACAAGCTCGTGACTGATATCTACCTACCGCCAGAATATGCTGCTTATCGCGTCTATAAAAAGAACAGATGGAATCAGTTGACCTCCATCTGTTACTCGTGGCGTTTGTTGATTACAATCTTTTCGTTTTCAGGACACGTACATGTACTGAACAAGTAGTGTAGACCTGGGGCCATTGCATTATTGTCAATGGCCTAAAAAAAGCGCCAGACCAGAACAGTTGGCGTGGATTCACGCTTTTCCGCCTGTCCCGCGATATCACCATCGCAGTAGGTCTAGTCTAAGCGAGCGAATTTGAACGTACCGTGCAGTACAAAGCATGCAGCACATTTCAAGGAGTGTGTGAGACGGGATGCTGGTTCGCACAGCAACGGCGAGAATGGTTTCCTGCTCTGTTCTCCATTTATTCTAGGTGCAAAGCTAGCTAAGTGCCTTGAAACAGTGGACTAGCTCTCAAGTCGTCTCAGCTCTAATCATAGTTCGTCTCTAAAAGACCAGTGAGTTCTGGTTCCCTATTGCTTCAGTCGTGCCTATCGTAAGAAAATCCGCTTCCCTACCTGGGGAACTGAAGAGCACATCAGTGCCCTACATTCATGGTGCATCTGCATTTCTGAACGTGAAAACAGCTTTGACAGGGAGGAGATAGAGTCAGGTATGGACGTTCGGATTTCAAAGTGTTTCCTTACAATGTTCTGCATTTCGCTAGTGTCCTGGTTTGCTATGACCTCTGTCGGAGTATACGTTGTCGAGATACCTGAACCCCTTGGATCACGAACTGCAGATGCGAGTGAAAGCCTTAGCCGAATGATCTATCCGTCCTATCCTTATGGCGACGTTCCACTGAGATTAGCTTTCAGTCCGCGAACCACTGTACTTATCAAGGATAACGTCCACAACGAGCCCCTGGAACGTGTTGTGGAATTTGTTTTGGATACCGACAATGTTTCACTCTGTACCATATTGGGGTCTTACTTTTCAACCGAAACTACATTTCAAAGCTGGAATTTCAAAACTTTTTTGGCTACTTTACCAGGTGGCCACGCTGAATGTCTTTGTCAGCAGACGATTCAGCCCAGTGTAACGACATCACCAGATCGGCGCATCTTAGTCTTCTTTGGTTTTGGGGCGGGTCAATGCTCCAAGTTCATCGTTCTTTACAATGGTATTACAACCATCACCAGTGTACTATCCGCAATTGGTGAGAATACTCCATGGGCATTTTCACCTGGTCTTGTTACCATACCGACCAATACGTCATCGTCGATATTCACACTCATATCATACGGAGGATCACATTGTAATAATTTCAGCGACGCGGAATGTGTCCGCTTCTCCACGGATATCTTCCAGGTCACAATCGACATATCAGACCCATCGGTACCAGTAAAGTGGATAAAATCGGAGCATCAGTTAGCAAATACCGGCACTAGGTCTCCAAGCCCCCGAGCAAACCCCACTCTAATATCTATAAGTGATTCCCAGTTATTGCTGTTCGGTGGAGTGGAAGCACATGGATATTCTCAACCCATCCAGGTACGAATGTTAAACGATTTCTGGATTTTCAATATTGAACAAGGCACATGGCTCGAACTGAAATCCAATTTTCCATCTACCTACTCTCCTGAGGGCGATGTGAGTATGATGAGGGAGTTTTTCAATACCTTACAGGTTGCCTATTTCAGCGTCTTCCGATCACTGATTGTGGCATACTCTGTTCCGCACGGTCCGTTTATCCTGTATCTATGCGCACTGTCAACCCAAGACAAGGACCCAGTTCACTGCGAAGCTAAAGGGAAACTTACAGACTTATATATACAGAACTATCCGCACGACATCCCTTGGTTTTCATTGTTGTCCGACCAAACCGACGAATTCCATATCGTCTTTCAAAGAATAAGAAGCACGAAAAGTTTCACCTTGCATCAGTGCGTCCAATGTCAACCCAACACGTCCCAGCTATCGACCACGTATAAGCCACATATTGATGTTCGAAGTCATTTTTCAGGCTTCCAGGGTTGCAATACAGCCCGTCCTCTGTCTATACCCCTTTCTGACAGCATTTCAATATACATTTTTATTGGTTCAAACTGTCCAGAAAGAACAACAGCTCGTTATGATATTCGCTTTACTCGTTCGCAGAGACCAACCCCTATTGTTGTGTGGCAACTTCTACACGACCGATTCGGAACATCAACAATAGTCGCCAAGTATCCTTCATCATCGCCTCTGCTTTATAATCGAGCGGGCTTCACATTCACGTCCGTTCAGCCATTCATGGGAATTCTCTTTGGAGGTTCGAGGATTATAAACAAAAGCTACGATTTCCCTAGTTCTACTTGGTGTTTGTATATCCAGGTTGATAGCCAAGCTCGAGATTCCACAGTCTACTGGCGACGCCTTACTACACATCAACCCCAGCCCTCGCCAATGCCTCGAGAAGACCATGTGGCATTCAGCCACAAGAGCCACAAGAGCACACATCTGGTGATACACGGTGGGAATAACGATATACAGATGTACGGCGACTTATGGCTACTGCAGATGACAGATGAACAGTCGTGCTCCGGTACGTGGACCCAACTGACTGATAATGTTTTCGGTGAGAAACTGCCTCGTCTATACGGTCATTCAGCCACTGCGTATGGTGATGACATCATTCTGTTTGGTGGTTACAACGCATTCAATGAAGAAAGTCCAAGAAGCGTCAATAACACACGTGACAATGGAGATGGGTTAGCTATGACTGATCACTTGTTGGTGATGTCGATCAAGAGCCTTTCTTTCATTCATCTCCGCAAGATTCCTTTGTCACAACAAGTTCCCGTGCGGGTCTTCCATTCTTTGTCTTCTTACTTGAACAATTCATTTTTACTACTAGGCGGATATTCATTTCGTAGCCGACCCACGAGAGCTGCATTTCTTTTTCAATTGCGGGCCCATGGAACGAAAATCACAGTTAAGGTTATACACTTTTTCAACTTCACCATCTATGGCCAACGTGTGATCGATGACCTTATCTTCTCAGGTGGATTTAATATCGAACCCGATGATGTAGATCAAGCAAGACACAGTTTAAAATTTCTGACATTGAACAGTTTGGAACATTGTCCATTGGGCTATGGATACTCGGAACACCGTTCCTGTGAACCCTGTCCTATAGGATACTACTCGTCAGCTATTGTTGAGAACTGTACAAGATGTCCTGGTGATTTAACGACACCAGGCATTGGGGCCTGGAAATGCGCTACCATATGTATGGACAGCTACTGCAATGGCCACGGTACATGCAAGCTGAATAGAGATGACAAGAAGTATTGCAACTGCAAGTTTGGATACCTACCGGCCGACAACTGTCGCACACCCGTAGTCTACCTTTCTCAGATGGCAGCCGTTATATTTTCCTTCGTGCTTTCTCTGTTCATTGCGTTCCTATTGAAGTTCATTCGAAAGCGTCGCGACTTGAGGAAGACGGAAAAAGAGTTGCAAATCCAGCATGTCCGTCTCCAAAGGTCCCTGAGGAAACTTGGAGAACTGAACCGGGGAGCGCGAATTCAATGGGGGGACTTAACAATCAAGAAACGACTGGCATCGGGGACCTACAGCAAGGTGTATATTGCAAAGCTCAGTGACATGGATGTTGTAGTCAAGAAACTTCCCAAGCGCTTCAATCGAACGCGATGGCGTACATCGCCTTTTGACACCTTCTTAGAGGAGGCTGAGACACTGCGATCCGTGTGCCACCCAAATATTGTCCTCTTTCTTGGAGCAGGCCAGGACATAGCGGACAAGTGCCCATTCTTGGTTATGGAGTACTTGCGACGAGGTTCCCTCTACGATAATCTGCATAATCCACGTGTTCAACTGGAACAAGAGGATATGCTCCGGTTTGCTCTGGACATCGCTCGTGGTATGCGATATCTGCATAGCTCTAACCCTCCACAGATTCACCGTGATCTAAAAAGTCCAAACCTATTGGTCAGTGATAAGTGGGTGGTGAAAATCGGAGACTTGGAGTTCACCAGATATCTTACCCTTATAGAAAACGAAGATCGTTCGCAATCAGGGCAGCAATCCACTAACGGTGCCCAAACCAACGCTCAGGCAGCAAGCGTTCTTCACGATCATTCAATAGCAGACAGCGGCGAAAACGAAAACCTGGTTCAACGTACGGTCTCTGAATGCCAGAATCTTTCACATCTACCAATACACCACAGCGGTAGTGATACGGCCAGTCCAAGTCTGTGCGATGAGAGACAATCACCATCTGGAAATGATAATCATGGTGAGGATACCATGGTAGCTGACGACGCTGACAGTACTCCACATCACTGTTTCACGGCCTCACAGCTGCCATCACGAGTTGGAATGACGTGTGGTGTTGGAACTGACAGATGGAGAGCTCCAGAGACACTGTCTGAGAACAGTTACACGGAAAAATCAGATGTGTATAGGTAAGTTGATGTGATCTTAGATTATGTTTGTCCAATTAAATTACAAAAAAATTAACGGTTCGTGTGAGACTCGGCTGGAAGTCGGGCTTTCCGCGTCCATAGGAACGCCACCACCCTTCAAGGATCAAGGCGCAAATGCAGCTCCTATAAGCGGTGGGAGGTGAGTAGATCAGCTCAACATCAAGTGGTCAAAGACCGAAAATCCCATTAACTGTATCCATGTTTTCCTCGTGCCAGGCCACGAGTTCCCAATTAACTGTGGGTCGCAGCACGGCTGGAAAAATCCTTCCGCTTCCAAGCAGGACTTGAACCTGGTACCCTCTGTTTCTCAATCATGATCTTAGACCATCACACTATGCCTGCCTGCCAAGCGGTGCTTGAATTCAACGAACTTTTTTTTTTTTTTTTACTATGTTCACATTCCCAGCTCGAAAATAATAAAGAAAGACAATGATACTGAGACTAGGACGAACGTGACAACTATTGAGCAGGGGCTGCACCGAGACGCAGTGGTGATGGTGGGGCATTGATGGCTCTGCCGACCTGAGGTCTCGGCATCACGGCCAAAAACACGCACCAATAACAAAAGATAGAGCTGTACGAGTCAGCAAAATGAAAAGAAAGGAAGGGTTAACACCAGCGAGTGTGCGAGAGAAACTGTGAGACTATTAACAAATTACAAGGGCTGTTACTGAGAGGAGCATCATCATGGCTGATCATGGCGAGTCGGTTGTCTGAGCCAGTTGTGGTGCATAGATAGGGATAGAGGAGAACGACGAGAGCATCATCATAGCGAGTCGACTGCCCAGAGCCAGTTTGTGCTTCGCAGATGGCGATAAACATTAGTTTTGAATGCTTGTATTCCCTTGCTGTGGGGAGGCTGGGACAGAAGAGCGGCGGGGAGGGAGTTCCAATCACTAATACTGCAGTGTGGGAACCAGCGCTTCAATGCCAGCGGGACAGATGCAAGCAGCTGGTGTTGGAGCTGGTGGTCATGGCCAATGACGCTACCATGCTCGCTGCGAGTTCTGGGGCTGGATGAGGGGAAATGGCGCGGTGGCAAAACAGAGAGTAGCTGCGGAGGGCCAGGCAGGTAATGCAGCTTGTATAGGCAGGCAAGCGAGGCAACAGTGCGACGGATGGCCAGGCTAGGTAATAGTGCACCTGGACCGATGATTCGCAGAGCACAGCATTGGATATGATCCAGGCGTTGCAGGTAGCTCGGCGGAGCACCTATCCAGATGAGGGGGGCATACTCCATAACTGGTCGAACAAATGCCTTGTATACTGTGGTGCGGCCGACCGGAGAGAGAATGTGCGCTGCACGGCGCAGGAAGCCAAGGCGTTGTTTGGCTCGAGTGGCAACCTTCCGGAGATGAGTGCTGAATGACAGCTTCGAGTCAAAGGTCACTCCAAGTAAAGAGAGAGCCTTCTCCTCAGGGACAGGAGTGCCGCCGAAGACAATGCGAGGCAAATTGATGGGGGTTCTGCGGAGAGTGGCGGTCATGGCTTGGGACTTCGACGGTTCGAAGGAGATGCGCCATCTGCGGCCCCACTGATGCAAGCGATCAACAGAAGTCTGGAGGATCAATGCTGCGTCGGCTGGGGATGTGTCGAGGGATATCAGGCTATACAAGGTAGTATCGTCGGCGTACGCCTCCAGGTGGGCTCCGGGTGACAGGGTCTCTGAGGCGTCGTTCACGTAAATCAGGAAGAGTGTAGGGCCGAGTATGCTCCCTTGGGGAACTCCTGCTGATATGGTATACAGCGATGAGGTTTGGCCGCCCACCAAGCATTGAATGAACCGTCCACCTAGGTAGGAAGAGAGCCAGGTATGCAGGGGGCCGCCAATGCCAAGATGGCGGACTTTGTGGAGGAGGCCAGCATGGGACACACGGTCGAATGCTCCGGCAATATCCACGGCTAGAATACGTGCTGCACCGCCTCGTCCGACGGCTGTGATCCAGGTCTCGTGTAGAGCCTGTAGCGCATCTGAGGTCCCGAGGCGGCGACGAAATCCGAACTGGTGGGGTGTCAGGAGTTTGTAACGCTCAAGGTGATTCATGAGCTGACGATTGATAACGCTCTCCATGATCTTAGAGATTATGCTCAGCAGTGAAACTGGACGATAATTCCTTAGGGCGGATCGTGAAGATCGCTTGTGGATTGGAACCACTCTGGCAGTCTTCCACATTTGTGGCTGGACTCCGTGCTGGAAGCAAAGAGCAAAGAGCTGACACAGTGGCTTGGCAAGTTCTCTGGCGCATTCCTTCAAGACACGAGCGGAAATACCGTCGGGTCCAGTCGCCTTTGACATGTCCAAACTAATTCCGTTTTACCTAACTGTGGTATCAAAGAAGAGGTTATTAAAAGGTAGCACTTGGATGGATACCCAAGGATTACACTTGAAAAGGAAGTACCAACATTTTACGTGTTATTCGTCGCTTGTGTCCAACACAAACAGGAATAAGCAATAATATGTTGTAACATGTATCATTTTGGTCGTTTCTTTGAAATTATATTATATTAAAAGTTCACCCGAGCTCAGTGGTTTTAAGCATCGCTGGCTACAAGCGAGGGTCCCTGGTTCGTGTCCTGGTGGTGACAGTCCATGTTTTCTTCAGACTTTTCCCGTTTGTGTCTTTCCCTCAAACAAGTGAATATTAAGTTAAAGGTTATCGCTCTCTTCGTATTGACTCCCATTGATTTTCGCTATACCCAGTCAAATATTCCTGCATATTTCACTCCTTAGCGCTATATTGACTGCTTATATTTGACTGCTTATCGATTGCGCAGTTGAACGGTGCCTAGTGCAGCATGGTCACTATATATGAGTAGGTGATCGTGCAACGGTTGTGAAATCATAAAACCGGGATTAATGAGGTAATCGTTCTGGAATTTGAAATACCAAATGTTTGTCCTGATAAAATCTAATATTGACTTTGTACTTGGTCAGCATAGGAAATAAAAGCCGAGTAAAAGACCGAGCCGAATACGCACTACGAGTAGTATATTTTCTAGAAGATACAATAAAACTGGTCCTGGTTTCTTGTATGTCAGCCGAAGAGGACGCGGCATTTGTTCGTGGATTTCTGAGTCCTGATTGATGATGATTTATGGTGAAGAGCTCGAAGTTTGTGGTTTTCTTTTCTGTGATAGGTTTTGCGTCTACAGCATAGTTTTTTTAGAATAGCATACCAATAATAACTGACATATTTTTATATTTGTACCGAGTTCGAGTTCTATTTGTGCCGAGTTCGAGTTCTCCTGTATATACTTACATACCTTCTGTACGAGGGTGTGGCCGATTCTAGTGGCTGAAGAGTGTGTGTTATATTATGGGCCATTGCAGAGTGAGTATCGTCAGCAAAATCGAATGCCCATTTTGTCGCTACTCTGGAGAGCGTGAAACGTCTGATGAACATTTTCCCTTGAAAAAACACTATATTTCTGGAACACCAAAATTGTGGTCGAGTATTTGTGTGTCGTTGAGCAATAGTAATAATAATTATTATTATGTTCCTCTGTGTGTGTGTGTGTGTGTGTGTGTGTATGTGTGTGTGTGTGTATGTGTGTATGTGTGTATGTGTGTGTGTGTGTGTGTGTGTGTGTGCGTGTGTGCGTGTGTGTGTGTGTGTGTGTATGTGGATGGGTGTGGGTGTGGGTCTGTGTTTGTGTGTGTGTGTGTGTGTGTGTGTGGGTGTGGGTGTGTGTGTGTATGTGGGTGTGTATGCGCGTTTGTGTGTGTGTTTGCATATTTTTGTGCTTGGTTTTCGTATGGTCTCTTTCTCTTGTAGTTATGGCGTGTGTCTGTGGGAGATATCTACTCGTCAGCTTCCCTACGCACATTTGTCGTTCCCGGAGGACATCCATCAAGAGATCATGGATGGAAACACGCCAGTCTTTCCTCCCACCACTCCCTACCCATACCGTCACCTGGCTGAGAAATGCATGAGCGACGAGCCACGTGACCGGCCCTCGTTCCAGCAGATATTTCATGAGCTTGAAGGTTTACAGGTATCGGAGTGTTAGGAAGCATGTGAGGTTGATGCCTAATATGGTATACGGTGAATGTATTTCCTGCCCTCTCTCACCATTGCTGCCCCCACTACATATCTAACAGGCTACCAAAATAATAATCTGATAAACTATCACAGAACGTTGTACACGTGCAACTAGCACAACATCACAACTTTACTTGTGGATGAGCAACAGTGAAGTATCTTGCCGAACACCTATCCTACTCTTCACAGAGTTGTGAAGTTGAGAAAAAGGTCGGAGCAAAACCTGCTATGTTCCGCAAGATCAGGGACAATCTGACACCAGCTGCGAGAAACACCTTCTACTGCTCATTTAATCAAGCACACCTTGCGTATGGTTCTAATGCGTTTGTACACTGCCTTCACACCACACAACATGATAGACTAACTCGCATTGCTATCCGCGCCGTTAGGATTGTTTTTGGTTTCCCTTGGCCCTATGATGTTTCAGTCTTACACACCAGATATGGCCTTGCTCCTATTGAACTGCGGTATCAGCTTTTGTCTTTCGGGCCCTAGGTGGCATATGTAGTACTCTGCTCTCTGATTGCTTCTGCCTTCTTTCCGCCACAACACACACAGCTGCCCGTACACGTTCCCAGTCCATGGATTCACTTGCTCTACCAAAAGCACGCAATCGTTATGGCGTATTCGATTTGAGCTTTCTGGCTTCTGACATTCGCGCTTGCTCCTCGTTTCATTATTCCGCAAATCCTGTTCTTTCTTTTTTACGAGAAACCACAAACATCGAGAACAGAATACTAGGCATGTGCGGATAATGTCGGCAGAAAATTGGCAGAATTCGGTACTTTTTCTGGTAAGTTTCATGCATGTTTGGTATGTGGAGAAAGAAATAAAGCAGAATTCGAGGAATTGCCCGCCATAAGGTTTGTATGGTTCTGCCAATTTCACTGCTTTTCGAGCAAAATCTGCCAACTTTTCGAGCATTATCCGCACACCCCTACAGAATACTCAGTTACTGCATGATGGAGGTGGTTGCAGACGCAACTGTGGCGGTGAAACTGGAGCATCTCCGCCGACCTGAGGTCTCGGCGTCAGTGACACTTCAGTGCACCAAAGAGTGGGGAGGAGTAGGCACAGGGGGAGGGGAGGGGGAGTACATTTGTATAGAGGGCCGTAGAAAATGGAAAGATGATACATGTGATAGAGTAAAAAAGGGGGAGCCAGGGTGCAAGCGGAGAGGGTGTTCAGGGAAGGTTCAGAGGGTACCTGTGGCTGGGTGCCAGTCTCGACTGCGGAGAGACTTGTAGGCGCCTTCCTTGAATGCCTGTGTTCACTTCTACGTGGGAAGGTTGCGTAGCACGGCAGATGGGAGCCTAGGAGGTGCTTCTTCTATCGTCATAGGTGAAAAGAATTGTTTGTTAGCTCCATATGGGCCATATCTAGGCTTCGATATTGACAACTAGTGTTTTTATTGGCAGGGGAAACTGGGAAGTACAAAACCAATTTTAGAAGAGGCCAACTCCTATATATAGGGTTTTGAAAATTCTGGACACCTTTGCACGAGAGGGCCTGTTACGGTAAAAGTATTATTATTATTATCAAAGTTTTGATAGGGTAATCCCCACAGGCGTAAGGCCTTCTTACAGGGTAACCTAGAAATGAAAGTACTGAATTACGGCATAGGTGCAGGGAAGAGCATAAGCGGACTGCAGCGGGGAGTGTATTCCAACGGTCGGAACCGATGAAAGAAACTGAAAAGAGACCGAAACGAGTTTTAGCTTTTGGTACAGTGACAGACGAAGATACCTGAGAGCGAGTGCAGGAATTGGTACGAGTAGAAGTAGAACGAACGCAAAAGCAATTAGTAAGGAGGGTAGTAGTTAACTGATTCAGGACACGAAGCACTAAGATATAGAGTTTTAACTGATAGCGCACAGACAAAGGGAGAATGTGATGGCGTGCGGGATCACCCGATGCGTCAGAAAAACGAGGCATACTGAACACAATGCGTAGAGCTCCATTACTAAGACGGACTACCGCCTCCTCATGCTTCGTATCCACACCGCCAGAATTAGTAATCTCCTGTCCAAGCGCCTACGTCGCCAGACTGAAGGCGTCACTCGGATCAACGATCCAAATGCGTATGTTGTCCCTGCCACCAGGCGAGTCTCTGGTGACTGTCGGCCGCTCGTTTCTGCTGTTAAATTATGGAACGCCCTGCCCCAAGAGTTCAAGTCCCTCGCCTGCCATAGATCGTTCAAGAGACTTTTAAAGGTTTATTTGTATGGTTAGCCAGCATCTAGGCTTGGACTTGGAGTCGTGACTCAACTGTGACTCAACTGTGCTTTCTTCTTCTTTCTTTTTCTTTTTTTCCCTTTCTCTTTTTTCTTTTTGAGTATTTGCAGTCTGTGTTTTCTGTGTTTTTCTCTCTTTCGTGGAGGCTTGCTTGTTGTATCCTTGGCTCTCGGCCGTTACTTTATCGCCATCATAATATAGGGCACCATTGCCCGTTCGGTCTGCGATACAAAATAAAATTTCAACAACAACAACTAGACGATCATGAAGAGGTACTGACAAGCAATGAGCAAATCAGTTACTACCATACTCGAGTACTGTCTGAATGGAACAAATATAAAATGCACGCTTTGCAGTTACCGTCATGTGATCTCGGACCTTTCTGAAGAAGTAAAGCCCTGGTGCTGGTGAAACTTGCCAGACATCATCTCTGAATAACACAAAAGGCAGACTCCAACAGGTTTTGAAGAAAGAACTTTATTTTTGTAAGTTGTGATCTACTCTTTCCCAAAAATTGGGAAAATCCTATACTGTGGATTTGACAGACAAAGAGATATGTAAAGATTTATCCCACACCGAGCAACTCGTAATATTTTGAATCATTGAGTCGATCATGGTTCTGCAGTGTGCACGAGTGATCCGCGTGTCGGCTCCCGTTTTTTTCAGTAGAAAAGCCTCTTGTACCGGCAAAACCAAAAAGTTATTATGATTATGTAGCTAGCATGCACAGTACTGCGCAGTAACTATAATACACTAATAAAACAAGTGAAATTCAGTCCAAGCAACTTTTTAACCCTTTGTGGGTCTTACTCAATGTATGTGAGGGGTGGTCACGCAAACACGCGTACAAACAACCAGCCATAACTCAAGTTCTGTAAGTTGTAGGTATGGGTAAACTATATATTTTCAAAATCTGTATGCCTGGACGAGTCCAGAAAACACAAATATGACTATGTACAGGTAAGGGTATGACCCGTGGTAGCCATTCAAGTTGAGAGAAAATACAATTGCGAACAAAAAACACAAAAGTCACAGCACGAAGTGCATACCAAGTTCGTGATGGAGCTGAAGTGCTATGATAAACAATCAGGTAAGCGCTACGTCTTGGTGAAGAATATATGCTCCTAATTCCGTCCTTGAACTCCAATACCTCGCCATCGGCGATGCACCAGCAGCAACAGTTCCACAATATCACAATTTTGGTTCGTTCACCTCAGCGCCGCTTGCGTCAGATTCACTCTCGCTCAGCTGAGTACTCAGGCGCGATGTCACACATGCCGTGAATCTCACGGCCAGGCGAATCAGCTGATCGCACCTGACAAGTCCTTGTAAGAGTTGCTGTTGCTGTGCTTGCTCGCTGGTTGGTAAATTTGATTTCTTCATTCGGGGACGATTTATTTGAGCTAGGAGCCCTCAACGCAGCTCTCTTTCTCACCACATTACACTGGAAATCCTCCAGGGACATCCAGCCTAGACTTGTTCCGTCAGGGCCCTCAGAAAGCTTCTCTGACACGGCCTTACGAGACGCACTCCCATTCTCGAAATGCGCGCATGGCGGATGGTCGTCTTTTCCAATTTCACCAGACTTCAGTCGATCGATACTGCAAAAATTTGTATGGTAAGTATGGTTGTTTTTTACACCATTGGAAAGCCTTGAACCTCAGGTACGAGTGGAGCACCATTTTACTTGTCTCCTAGCAACAAAACTCACAGAAAATGCGATTTTACTGTAAGGGTCACATACGACCCTTACGCTTATGTGAGACCCATAAAGGGTTAAATGTGTGTGTATGTTTAAAGCTAGTCAGATGCTTCAGGCCGCAGGCGTGCCTCCGCAATGACAACCGCAATCGGATCTCGCTGGAGGTAGCGGGACTTGGACGATCTGGCACCACGCAAACACATGATGCTCGACCTCACCAGCGCAAAGCACAGCCGAGTGCGAATCCACGCCATGGTGGCAGAATACTGGTCGTTTCTCTTTTCAGAGATAAGAGCAGCCAAGGCTCGAAGCGCTTGTACAAAACTGTGGCGGCGTTCCCAGCACCACCACTAGCCGACATGAGGACAGGCATGAAGGAGGCCCTCTCGACTTCCCGAGTCCTCTCCTCATATCTCCTCCTCTTCTCGCGTTCATGGCGGGCATACACAGCGGGGGTTGAGGCAGCACGATTCGAAGCAGCATAGGGGTTGAAAACCCGTATATCAAACATTGTGCGTTCGAACCGGCCACCCCATAGCCCACTGGCAGCGATGTCGAGGCGAGCATTGTCCTCTAAGGATGCAGATCGGAGGCTGAACTGCTCACCAGAGAGCGGTTGCAGTGGAGGTTCCACGGATACCGAGTGAACCACCTGGCGGTGACGTCTAGGCATAAAAAAAATTCACGGTTCGCGTGAGACTCGGCCAAAGGCCCAGTTTTCCGTATCCGCAGGAACGCCACCACCCTCTTGGATCAAGGCGCAGATGCAGCTCCTAAGCGGTGGGAGGTGAGTAGATCAGACCCACCACAAAGTGGTCAAAGACCGAAATCCCATTCACTGCATCCATGGTTCCCTCGTGCCAGGCCACGAGTTCCCAATTAACTGTGGGTCGCAGCACGGCTGGAAAAAATCCTTCCGCTTCCAAGCAGGACTTGAACCTGGTACCCTCTGTTTCTTAAACATAGTCTTAGACCATCCCACTATGCCAGTCTAGGCATAATTATGCGGATAATGGCGGCAGAAAAATTGGCAGAATTCGGTACTTTTTCTGGTAAGTTTCATGCATGTTTGGTATGTGGATTAAGAAATGGAGCAGAACTCGAGGAATTGTCCGCCATAAGGTTTGTATGGTTCTGCCAATTTCACTGCTTTTCGAGCAGAATCTGCCACCTTATCGAGCATTATCCGCCAATGCCTAGTGACGTCACGGATTTCATTGTGTCTTGAAGACGGAAATCCACCATCGGCAGGATAACGCTTGGGAGACGTCGAAGCGCGCATTGCCACAAACGCAGGATGACGGTAAACGGTCCGGCACCCAGCCATAGCGCAAACACAGAGCGTCTCGAAACTCAGACTTTGAGAGACGAAAGCCATGGCAGGATAGAGGACGTGACGTCAGCCAAGTAGAGCTACCACGCTCGGAAGCAAGCTCAAGCTGAGCCGCATGTACAGCACCTTCACCGCTCACAAATCCCTCCTTCAGCTGTTGCTGTGATGATCGAGCTGCAGTGCGGACTTGCCGTTTGGGAACGAGAGCATAAGCCGCTCCACACTGGACGGAGAGAGACGCCCAGTAAGGGCTGGGATGAGGCGCTCCCTGATGACGGCTTCCAGACCACCAAACTCCTCCGATGATATCTCCAAGGTCCGGGACAAGAAAGACCACTTGCCTTGTAGACCCTGGACAAATGCAGAGTAGGCAGCCTGGGGTTGAGTCCGGGCAAAATCGGAAAGCCGAGACACCTAACGTGTCCAGTCGGTGTTTGACTCAACGAAACTGCTGACAAACTCTGGGGTGCCCAAAGCGGCTCCCAAGTGACGACAGCCATCTCTGACGATCTGGACACCCGTGCCAGCAAAGAGTGCAACCGCTTCATCATATGCGCGCTCCTTCACCAGCCG